TGTAATGGAATCAGGAACAAGCAATCGGGGGTGAAGAAAACAGGAAACTCTTTTTAACCTGCTGTGCTGGTGGATGTGGATGCTTTTCCTTAATTTAGTTCTTGGGTACATTAACAAAGATCTGAATAACCTACCTAGATCCAGTGGACTTGCTGAGCTTGATTCACTAGATGAACCAAAAGAAGGAGATAAACTATTCTACAGGCAATTGTGAGAGGGGTTTCTCCTTTCTCCTGGTTTCTGCTTTTCCACAGGATTTCAAAATGGTTGGCTTGTTTTATATCTTGATGTCTAATATATTACCTTGTTTTCCTGCGTAGCCTGATTTAGTGGTTGACAGCCCTGCCCATGGCAGGGAGGGGGTTGGAACTCAGTAATCTTTTAAGGTCCTCTCCAACCTAAGCTATTCTGTGATTCTGTGATTCATAATTTTTGAATGCTTTCTGTACTAAGGGTAAATGAGGAAGAATGAAATGTGGTGACAGAGATTAAACATGCCATATTTCTTTCCTTTTACTAGAGGCAAAATATCTTTGATTTGTCAAATAGATCAGATAACAGCTAAAGGCAAGTTGTAGTCTCTTTCTAGAAAGTAATGGTAAAAAATGGAACTTTTAAACTTTATTACCTCGTTAGATCTCATCATTGATTAAAGGCTGTAAAATTGTAGTTCAGTGTAAGATACTGCATAGCTTTACTTCGTGTATGTAAGATAGCAGTCTGTCTAACTGATTGTTTTTCTCTCCAAGGTTTGCCTTAATTTTCTCTAATAAACACAGACTTGTTTTTCTCGTTTTTTTGAGAGGGAGGAGTGCTGCCTAGGGGATTCCTAAGATGGATATTCACTGAGGAACATGACACACTAGAGATCTTTTTTAAAACCATCTATTTTTAAGGTTACCTACTCACTTAAGTCTGTCCCCTTCACCTCTGAACTCCTGATTGTAAAGACAGCCAGCTTGATCACATGCAGCTGACACTGGGATATCAAGTCCTTTTGGAAACTGTTAAAATCCAGTGTGTTCAGCAGGCCTCTGTTTACTCCTTAATGAACGATCAGAAAGTATTTCTGGGACAAGTTTCTAAAGCATCATTTTGCCTCACATAGGCATCTTGTTTCCAGGACAGTTTGGACCTGCCTGCATTTGTTTGTTCTTTGCTGCTCTGTGCAGTCCAGGCTGCAGGGGGTTGTGGAAAGAGAAAGTAGTTTTAGTTCCTGGGCCTTAATAGATTTCCTTCGCAATTTCGTCTCTTCTATTCAGAAAAGGTAGGCGGACTTTGTACCATCAACTTTGCTTTGTTTTGCTTCCTTTATGACTAATAAGCCTAGTTTCTAAATCAGTCACTAAAGGAAGTGAGATTTGTTTGTTTGCACTGTCCAGCTGTTGATGAGTTTAGGGCCTGCAGGCTGACTTCCATCAGAACTGACAGAACAGTGAATGGAGAAATACTGTGTTTCTGCCACATCAGAGGAGAGTGGGAGCTGGGCTGAGGGACAGCATAAAATGGAGGAGGCAGAGGGGAAATCCCCACCCCGCTCTGCTGGGCCCAGAGGCCTGGTGTGCATGCTCTGGTGCTGGGCTGGCACTGGGAAGTGGCTTTAGCAGTAACTGAGTCTGTGGGCTGGAACTGAGGGTCCTGGAGAGAGACTGGGGAAGGAGAGATGGAGCCAGGAAGGGAAATGGATCCTAGAAGGGCCGTGGCAGTCATAGATGAAGAGGGCCTATGCCTGTACTCTGTGAGAAGACTGCCAGATGCATTCATGAGAATTTATCTTTTTAATTCACTCCGATATCAGTGGAAGTCCTATTATTTTTTGTATGTTGTATGTACATTGCTTTCTCTTTTTTAACAATTTCTAGATTAAGGCCTACTGAGGTGTAGAAGGGCAGACTTTTCTGAGCCTGTCACTTTAAGTTTATCATGCAGTTCTGAAATGCTTTCCTTTTGGGGCTGAGATGTCATTCTCTAACAATAGAGGCACTTCTGGCACTTGATAATTACTGCTCCTAGAAGGGACCAGGGAGATAATACGATGACAATCGGAATAGAAATGGAAAACCAAGGAGATAAAATTTCTTTAATAACATTTGTTTCTTGACATTCTGACTTAAGGTACTTGCTGATAGTCGAAATTGTCTTTTGCATGGCAAGTGATGAGGATGAGAGAGGGTCCATCAGACACCTCTGGGGACAGCGGTAAATAGGGCGTACTACGTACTGTTCTTCAGCAGATCATTTGCTTTTCTTTGCCTTAAGATAGGTAATAGCCTTCTTGGAGTCCACAGCGGGTTTCCTATACGAATTTCCAGGTACAAGACTTAGTTTGAAGTAATCTTTGTTTAAAGAAACTCAAAAGTCATATATATTTTTCAATTAGACAAACGTCTTCCACTTCCTCAGCGTCAGCTTCTGTGAGTCCCAGTGTCCTGTAATAACACTGTTATTGGATAGTAAGTTCTGAGAAACATTATTTAAACGACATAAATGCGATCACTAGCAATGCCAGTACTTTGCCATTTGCATATACAAGTAAATTCCTTTATTATCTTAATAGTTGTTCTTCTCTCATCCCAATATACATAGTCTTGAAGGTTGTTTATCTCTGCCTGTCATGAACGTGCAATCTGTGGTAATACGTTTGAAGTCCTTTTGAGCTCCCCTGATTCTTGCCATATATGGCACAATAAACTGCCCAAATTTGGTCAAATATTTTTAGCCACTTAGTCATATGTCTTTTAATGTGCTGCATATGTAAGCTTTTGATTCACTTAGCAACAGTATTTTTATGAGTAGTTCTTGCCAGTTTTTCTTACGTATAATTGAAAAACAGGCAAACTTTGCTCTTTGATAGGTTGTGTCACTAACACACGGTCTGGCTTTTTTTAATAGTGCCGATCAATTTTAAGATATCCTTTTTTCACATATTATGCATTTTGGAGGATTGCAACAAACATGAGTATGTAGCATATTGAAATGTAATATTGAAAGATCTGAATTTAACAGCATTCAGGAAGTTGTGAGTTCTTCTGATATGAGTTTATTTTGCATATGATAAACTGGTGGATATGATGATATAGGTAGGATACCTGTGGACAAGCAAATAGCATTTTTTCCAGAAAAACATGGTGTAATACATGGGTAAAGCATGGCTTGGCTAATGTTTCTGTGAAGTGTAAACATCTGTGTTTCCTGAACTGCTTTTCTTCCTGATCTGTTACAACATCTTACGATTAGTTCCTTCCATTCTAAGTAACAAAATGACTTGCAAAGAAAGGTGGTTATTTTATTTAAGAACTTGTTAATACCATGTAATCATTGTGTGCTGATGATAATAACTAGAAGAAAATGAAGGCAGTATCCTTGAGGAATTGGTAGTCTTTATTGTTGAAGTATGTTGATAAACCAGTTATTGAAAGAATTGCTGATTATACGGATGGGAATTACTAAAAAGATAATCCAGAAAATCCTTTAAGAAGGCACATTTCAAGAGTATCTGAAAAGGTAGGGAGGAACTTAGGTTTATGAAAGTTATTACTTTGAGTGTTTGTTTTTAATTGAAGAACAAATAATGCAAGCAGTTTGTTGCAGTCTAGTTGCAGTTCAGCTGAAAGATTACTGATGAAGAAGCGCAGATGAGACGTTGTTAAAGCAGTTCTTTGTTGCATTCTAAATGAAGCTTAAAGTTCATACCTTACTAAAGCAAGTGGGGTCAAAGAGGGATAATTTCTTGCTGTTTTTGTTTGTCTGGTTAAACAGGACAGCAGTGTGTCTCCCGTATATTTTAACTGCTGCCTCAGCACTACAGAATGAGGGAAAGCTTTGAGATTCGTCTTGGAAAGCACAGTTGCTTAAATAAGGAAATCTGTGGTTTTTACAGTAGTAAAGGAGAACGTAATTTTCAGTCCTGATTGTTGTAGAAGTACGCTAAAAAGTAAGAGTTATACCTTAGTTGCATTTTTATGAGATAGATAATTCTCTGGAAGGATCTGGGAGCCTGGTAGTAGCAGTTCTCGTTTCAGTCTTTTCATTTTGTAGTACTGATGATTTATTAAGGTAAAAAAAAAATTAATACCCATCTTGTGGAGTCTGTTTTGAGTCCTTGCTGTCTTGAAGTGCAGAGGGACTTTTGTCTGTGTTACTCTGCCCTTTTAAGGGCAGCAGTATGGAAGTTGGCAAGAAAACGCACTGAGCACCCTGTGAGAAAAATACTCAAACGCAGAGAAGAAAGGCAAAATAGGAGCCAGTCAAGATGGGGATCTGGAGAGTGCCAGTAGTTGTGCATGTCTGCAGCACTACTTGTTTGGTAATGAAAATGTGTGCTCCAAAGGTATAGTATGTGCACAAAAGATAATATCTTTGCAATATGCTGACCTGATACTCAAGTAAGCTTACAAACGAGAGTGATTCAAAGACTGTTAAAAGACGTATGGTGGTATAGAACATGCTGCAGTAGAAAACAGCAGGGTATTGTTGAAATGCAATCTAGCATCCCCTTCCACACTCCTTAGTCTGAACTACGTTATAATTAAAACCATGTTACAGCACTGTTTACAAAACTGCTCCCCATCTCTTGACTACAATAATTCTACTTCATGGTGTAGTGATTGGCTATTGGCAATTGTAATATGTTTCACTCGACTAAGCTGGACCTAGGATGGAGCTAGAGCCTGGGGGCTAGGTAAAGGGAATGACTTTATACTGGTAGCTCTGAATGTGTTTTCAGAAAAACAGAACCAGTTTACCTGAGGAAATTACATTCATTGGTTTTGTTAAACTCTGTTTAAATTATTGTGTTAAAGGATTTGCTGACAAATTTCTAACTGGTGTTTTTTTCTCCAGTTCTTTTTGTCCTGCTGTCAAATCCCAACAGATAAAGCTTGCTTCCACGTCATACCTGAAAGCAATTATTTTTTTCTGAAGTTGTTTCTTAAAGATGCACAATATTGTAAAAACAACTTTAATCTGAACTTATTTCTTACATCTTTCTTTCTTTATAGGCTTGTATAGATGATAACGTAGATATGGTGAAATTTCTGGTGGAAAATGGAGCAAATATTAATCAACCAGATAATGAAGGCTGGATACCTCTACATGCAGCTGCTTCCTGTGGATATCTTGATATAGCAGAGTAAGGCTTTTTCCTCTATATTTCAAATACATGCATTTTACTAATGTATTGTTGGAGGGGTACCACAAGTAGACTGTTGGGTGATTTTCAGAAATGATTTTCACTGCTGGGGGGAGGCATGGGGAGGAAGTTCTAATTTACATTCTGTTTGTAGTCTGAAACATTATCCCAGGATATGTCTGTGTGTAGGAGATTTTGCAATTGTATTTCCGGTCTTAAAACTTTTGTTTTTCAGGTGTGGTATGAACTGATGACTTCTGCTAAGTATTTTGGCTGTAGAACAGAATCTTACTGTTGAAGTTAGATGCCTGTTACGGCATCAGTTAAAGCTTACAAGGCAGTGAATTCCAGGAGTGGTTTTGACGTTATTTTCTAAGCCTGTTGAGGACCACTGAAGATGCATTAAAATCATTTTTTTTCTGGAGGTTGTATTTCTTAACCTGAAGCAACGACTGATCTGAGAAAACATGGGGCATGTGTTGTTCAGAATGCTGTTCTTGCAGGAAAGAGGGTAGTGGCGTTTTTCAAACACCCTTTGGGTATATGCAGACTTCACTAATTCTGCTAAACTCTGTGTCATGTTTGATCCAGTGTAAGGTTTGGATCAAATGTAGGGTAGTAATCTATCATGCAGTTACGCTGATGTACTGATTACAATTGAAAAAGATGGCAATTGTAACTTCAGGAGATGGTTTATTTTTTTTGTCTGGTGAGTGTGAGAGATTTGGTTGTTCGAATTTTAAGGGAAAAGGAATTCTGGAGATTCTTTTGTTTCTCATTTTCCCTGGGAATTTTTTATTTTTTGGTTTTCAAAGATTGAAGTGCTTTGTGTATTCTTTATGTAACTCAGACACTGTGACTGCTGACTTCTGTAATCTGCCTTTCTACACTAAGCAGATGTTTGATGCTGTAATCTCTCTTGCATGCATGTTGGAAGTGTTGACTTGTTGGCCATACTATGACAAGAATTTCCCTACAAACTGAGATAATAGATGCCTTTCTTCAGTATAGTAGAGGTAAAACACCTGCCTTTCTCCATAATAGGAAAAAGTTGAGTAAATGTTCTCTATTTGGCATTGCAATCTAGGTTAGACACAGTTGTGCAGGGAGGAAGGAGCAGTCATTCCCTTGTCCATAAGAAACCTTAGTAATCTGAAACCTATAATATTTCTGAAGGTTCCAGTGATTTTTATTCTCTCATTCTTTGAGAGGACCTGTTCACATACTTTCCTGAAAAGTACTTTAAAGAAGTGAGATTATTGGAGTATAATCCTGCAGGATGTGGGACATCTAAGCTGCTGGAAGATCGGGGTTTTTAAGGTGCAAGGAATTTTAAAGATAGGCTCTTGAAACTGTTTCCCACGTACATCAAAGAGAGAGGGGTAACCTGACCTAAATGGAGCAGAGTTTAGATCTGGAATGGCCCAGAGATTTAGATTTCCTTCTGACTACCCCTCCAGTAGTGAGCTCAGCTTCAAATGGTTTACAAAATTGACAACAGAATTTGCAGCTCAGGCGAAACTTGGGGAAGGGGAAAGGGTTGTGTAAGAAATTACCATGCATTAGGAATTCTGTTTGGCGTGTGGCACGCACTGGATTCAGCATCTGTTCCACTAAGAATATACCTTTCTTGGAAAGCGCAGAAGTGTGTGTGTCTGTGGCTGAACCCAATATGTATCATTTTTAGTGGTAAATTTTCTTGTTCAAGAAAAGGAGATCTTTGGATAGATTGGATCTTTGGATAAATTATGGAGATTATATTTAAAGTTCTGAAAAAAAATTACAGCTAGTAGCTTGACATTTCTGTGTCCCTTATGATGTGGACTGCTATTTTTGTACAATGATTTCTGCTCATTTTCTATTTTTTAGAAGGAAATAGAGGAAAAAAAGGATCAGGGAATGTGTTCTGGTATTTCCAGCTTTATTAGTAAGCAACCAAGGAGAGTCTGACTTGTGCTTTCCTTTCTTTTCCTTCTGTAAAACTTTTACCTCATGCACAGCTTTGTATACCCTGTAAAACTGGGGACTCAGCAATCTGCTTTAGCTTTCTCTGCTGCCACCTTGGGTGTTCTGAGGGCTTCCCTCAAATGTGAATAGTGGAACTTTACTCTTAGAACAGCATAGTCTGTAAAATCCTCCAAATATGCTGATGTAGTTAATGTTTTGATTTTGTTTACAATGTGTACATTTTTAGAAATCATAAGAAAAAATCAGCACTACAAAGGATACTTTTTTTCAAGATTTCGTTTCTCAAAGTCAAAAATTGTATGTAAGACATGGAGTTAGGAAATTGGCATCTTTTCTGCTATGAAGGGCATTTATGTGTTCACAGCATATTATGGGGAACTTCTCACTCTAAGTATGTCCTCTCTGTGTTGAATATGTACACACTTGCAACTTTAATATTCTTCATGCATTTGTGCGTGTTGCTTTTTAGGTTTAAAAGAGGTAGGGGGAAAGTGGAGGAAAGAAAGCAGAAGTTCTGTTAATGATGCAAGGTACTCTTGCCTGATCACTAACCAGAGCTTTTCTGTGAGATCTAACCAGGATATGTTGTGCTGGAGTTTGCAGATCCATTAATAGGATGTGAAACCTTCTTTCTGCTTTCAGAGAGAAAGAAAAAAAGTGAATCATTAAATGTTAATTCTAAGCTTCTTCTGGTGCTTGTTTGACCTCCACAGAATTATACTGAGATGGATAATGTATTGTCTTATAGACTGATAAAGATTTCTGCTCATACTGCTTTATAATTGAATCACTACACCATCATCCTACAATTCAGATGTTATTTCTAAATGTTCCATCCATTTGCTATTAGCAACCATTTCATATTCTGTACAGTAAATGGAAATGGCAGAAAATCACTCCCTGGTTAATAGGAGATCGTGGTGCCTGTTTAATCAGTGTAGGATCATTCCTTTCTCTCTGTGCTTTCAGAGAACTGCTGATCATCTCTCTGTGTATTAATGTGTACATGCTGCTGTTTTGCCAGCAGGCTGCACACTGCAGGTATATTCCCAGTCCCAGTGCATTGTGCACTTACAAGTTCTGTAACATCTTCTCCCAGCAGCATCTCCTGTCCCATTTCAGTCTGTAGCTTCTTTGGAATGTTCTTCTTCTCTTGAGTGTGCTTCCTGTCTCCTTTAAAACGTGTGTCTTCTACTTTGAGAAACGTCAGCATTGTAGAAGTATACTTCATGTGAGATACAGCAAGAAAAAAGGTGTTTGGTGTGGTACAGTGTCAGCTGGTTGCAGATGGAGGGCTATTCTGGGAAAGAAAGAACCATAAGAAGCAATAGCACCTTTTCTTTCTGTTTCTGAGATCTGCAAATGCTGGGAGTGCTTCAACTTGCTGGAAGTTCTTTGAATTCTTCAATTTTGGAGTTTTCCTCTAGCTTTCTCTTTATCTGTTTTACAATCATATGAATTAGCTTACAAGTAATAGTAATATGAATGTGTTGGATATTATTCAAAGTTGCCAAAACAGGTGGGTTTTCTGTAGAATGATCTCCTTGTACTTGTTTCTATTTTCTTATACAGAAGGCTTTCTATGAAGGAGATTTTTCTTTGCCTTCAGTTTGTTAGCATAGGTTAAAATGTCAACATCAAATGCTTTGAAAAATTACGGTTACATGGAAGCAAACTAATGCAGGAGCCCTTCAGCAGAAATTTTGTATCTGCATTCTTTAAGATATTGTTTAATAGGGGGGACCCTCAAATTTAGCTTTCACAGAAGCGTGAATGCATCTAATAGAACTATTCAGGTGAATGTAACAAATTGATTTGTATGATAGAATTCCTCTGCAATTTAAAAGCTTATATATTGTATTAGTATTGGGTAATAAACACATTACGCTTTAGAATGCAGAAGAAAAGAACAAACATACTGCAGGAAATAGTGCAGAGTGGTATTCAAGAAACAGAATTTTAAAGTCTTTTTTCCTTACATCACTTTGTGTTGCACCAGATTAATATAAAATAAATGTAAAATGGCATATATTTCTCTCTTGTTGAAAAAATACATGTGAAAGTGTACTTTCGTGTGAGTCATTTACCGTGCCTAGCTGTGAGCGTGGGGTTGAGTTTTGAGTTTGCTTGTGAGCATTTGCAGGCTACAGTATAGTTTTACTGCTTAATATAGCTTTACTGCTATGAATGTATTTTCATTTTTACCAAAATGGAAGAATGTTTATCATTCAGAAAATGTATGAAAAGCATTTTTTGAAACAACAAAAAAGCAAAAAACAAAAGCAAAAAACAAATTAAATTGAATTAATTATTCATCTGACAGTTACACATTTGTCCCCGTCCCCCCCCAAAAAAAAAGAGAGAGAAAGGAAGATGTCTCTTAAGGCAATAATAGAATTTTTCTACTGAATATTGTATTGGAAACTTTGCAGATAGCTTGAATTGAGGAACATCCTCCGACACGATGTGCAGGGCTGGGATGAGTTTGAGATCATCAAACTGTGCGCTCACATTTCCTTTATCTCATCAAGTTGTTTGAAAGAAATGATTGGTTGACAATAACCTTCTTCCAGTTTGTATTTAATTTTCATCTGTATTTATCAGTAGTCCCTGAAGTTCCTTATTTTAAATGCTAGAACTTGAACTTGCCATTCTGAAACGAGCAAAATTGCCACAATCTTTCTTAAAATGCGTGATGAAATGTGTTCCCTACCAATGACAACCAATGGCTACACATTTCCATTGGCCTTTGGTGTAATTGATGGGTGTGACTATCTGGCAGTGTTTAATGGCCATGCTTCCTTAATCGTTCAGAATTTGTGCTTGCTAGTAGATATTTCCAAAATACTGTCAACTTTCAAAGTCTTTGTGGCACTTTGAAGTTGATCTAAATACTTTCCAGCACCTTACAGAGAACAGCTATTCGTTTTCTTCTGGGTTTTGTAAAACCGACGTATGAATGAAATCTAATTAATGGATCTACATTTATTTGTAGATCCTTTGTGTTACAGATGGAGTCCAGTCCAGAAATG